TTTTAACTAAAGTATTTTGCATTATACATAAAACTTTTGAACGTTTAAATGATTTTATTGACATATTATTGACATATTGGCATATTATTTTCATTTTGTATTATCTTGTATATTATTTCGATGGAATACAGGATAATATATTAAGAAAAATTGTAATAAGCTAAATGTCCCAATGGCTGGATATGTCTCAATCTCCGAAAATATATGAACAAAATAATTTTTTAATATTCATAAATATAATGTCCGGAAACTGTGGTAAATTTACGTATCCAATTATTTTTGCAAATATTTAATATCGTCGTTTAATAAATGCAAATTTTGGTTTTAAATTTCCGCGAAGTAAATTTTAATTTTTATTATATAATATTAAAAATATTATTTTCATAGAAAACATCACATTTTTAATAATAATTAATTCTTAATATATTGCCACTGGAACATTTCTCTTAAATATTGTAAACTTGTAAAAATCTGTTTCTCATTTGTACAAAATATTGTATTAATATATTGTATATTATATTGTATATTATATTATTATATAATTGTATATTGTATTACATATATATATGTATATCACATTATTGCATCTGTATGCAGCATTGTTGTATATATTTCTTTTTCATTGTATATGTTTTCTGAATTTAATATTACTTATTGTATACTATTATTATATTGTATTTGGTTTTATTAAAATCTTTTCTCGACAAACAATGTATTTTATTTCACAACATTCTTTAAATTTTCTTTCCATTGAAAGAAAGAAAATGATCGTACCAGCAGAGAGAAGCCTGAGAGCGATCATCCCCCCGATTTAGCTGCAACCACAATTCAAGACGCCTCTATGTGCACAAAACGTGCTATGTATCTAAAAGTTATAATCTTGTTACGTAAAAATTGTAAAGTAAGGGCAAAATATAAAAATAGAATTTACAAAAATTAAAAAAACTTATATGTCGCGATTCTTGGATGCAATTTTTATTAACAAAATTGTCACGTATATTTATGTTAAAAAGAACTTATTGTAAATTAAGCTTTAACATAAAATAAATAATGACATGTGCATGTTTTTTATTGAAATTATTTTATATACATCAATGTTACCCTACTAGCTCTGTGTTACCGACACTTTGTGCACATAGAATGGAACAGAACCAACATTGTGCACATAGCATGTTACCCACTGGAAAGTATCGTGTACATGGCTCAGTAGTTCAATGTGCACGTTTTGTGCACATAGAGGCGTCTTGAATTGTGGTTGCAGCTAAATCGGGGTGATGACCGCTCTCAGGCTTCTCTCTGATATTATATATATAATATATATATTATATTATATATATAATATATATATTATATTATATATTATAAATAATATAAATATTATAATATTTATTAAGTAAATCTCAAAACAGCTGAAATAAATATAAATAAATATAAAATTGAAAATAATTTACATAAATAAAAATAAAATAGAAATATTTAATAAATATGAAATATATCTAAAGTAGTAAATTATTACAAAATACATAGCATAGTTATTTACTGAATGAAATTATGCATATACCTGACAATTATACACTTTTGCAGTAATTGATACAGAAATAAATAATATTCTAATAAATGTTAAAAATGGTGTGGTAAAAATAAGAAATAGCATGAAAAGCTGTACAATTTTGTTTATAATCATTTATTTGATTGATAGATCAATGCTCCATTTTACAGCAATCTTATTGCGCTACAATTAGATAATATATACATTAAAAAATTTGAAACTATGATAATTAAGATGATTATCAAAGTTAAAAATTCTGAAGCACTCAAACTAATTATGAAATTAAATATTGCTAAAATACAATTCATGTTTATTCTACAAATATAATTGTACGCAGATACACTTGCTATATGTAGTTGTGTATCCATGTATTTTTATGCCAGTAAAAATGTATATAATGTATTTATCCAATATATTTTAAACGCAATGAATTGTAATGTAATGACAAATTTTTTTTTATTTTCACAGACATTGTCTTGTTTATACATACATATACACACAAGTGCATGTATGTATATATGTATATCATTCAGCTTTTCTCCTTTTCTTTCAATACTTTTATCTTTCGGCCTAACATATCGTATATAGAAGGATTTGGTTCTGTTTCCTGATCTGTGTCCGAACTGCAATCACTATCACTAGAATTATCATATGTGCCAAGACCTGGTAATATGCCAATACACTTGAGTCCACTATATCCATTACTTATTACTGGATTTACTACTATATTATCGTCTTGTTTATCTGATTCATAATTAGAGGTATTAGGTGCTGGCTCACAAGATGTATGTTCCTTTTCCTTCTTTTTGGTAGTAGCTGTATCATCCTCTGATGAAGATAACTTTCTTTTAGTTCCTTTAACTTCTCCTGAAAAAATAACAAAGAATTGTAACATATCGTATAAATTTTCAATTCTAGCAGGAAACAGAACCTTTTTCGTTTTACCTTGTTTTTGCTTGTCAGATCGTTTTACTACAATACCTCCTGGCAACTTTAACTGCGATGAACGACTACTAAAAAATAATTCAAGTTAAATTTTCTGATGTCATTATATTATTAAATTAGTTAAAAATTATATAAACTTGAATTATTAAATTATTAACAGAAGTTTCTAAGATCAAGACTTCTATTGCCATGTCTTTTATCCTTTCTATCACCAAGTAAAAATGTAGTCCATTTATATAGATCGGTTTTTAAAAAATTAAAATGTCTAGCTTTTAAATGGTGAGACATTTTCTTAACGTATTTGCGAGTGTGTTATTGTTCAGTGGTTACACCATTCTAAAGCTAGACAATTTTGAAAGGCTATTTTATACAAATATACATACTACATTTTTACTCAGTAATGGAAAATAAAAGACATAGAAGTGGATTTACAAATCAATGATATGTAAAAAATATAATATTATACAACACTTTGAAAACAAAGATTAAGGATTAAGTTTATAAATAAATATATATAGGGTGTCCCAGATTTACCGTATCACCCGTTAATGGCAGATTCCTGAGGTCATTTGGAGACGAAAATCTTAATACCAAAATGTTGAGGCTACTATAGTATTTGAATGGGAAAGGCTTAAAGTTTACCAATCAACTTGTTAGAATTTGGCGCGCTCAGGGACATCGCATCTCGAAAGGACCCTTGCACAACACTTTATGTAGCAAATCATACTTCGTACCGATAGTATTGATTTTCTCTCATGACATGAGAAACGTCATTTGTCAATGGCACGACTGCTTTGACAGTTCGACGCGCATCGTGTTTTAATACAATTTAGAAATTATTATTGTTAGTAAATTCGTCAGTATTGCGAACAATGTAAATAAAGTGAATAAAGTGAATAAGAGCTGAGTGAAGTAAATAAAATGTATTGAATAAAGT